TTTTCTTTAACCAGCTTGTATTTACACAAGGACTACAAGAAAATCTTTAAGGCGCTCTAAGAGCGGTGCCTGTGCGAAAGTAGAGATTCTCGTTGCATTTGCATCGCTGGAGATTACATTCATTTATAAAAACCTCCTCAGGAAGTTCATTTCATATAAAAGCAAATACTAAACAATGGAGTTCGAAGTGTACTTAGTTGAACCACAAGACAATGAGCAGCTATAGTCAGTCGTGTATTTCCGATATGCACTGCTCTTAGTGGAATCAAATGTGCCAAGATAATGAACAGCTACATTCCGTCGTGTATTTCTGATATGCACTGCTCTTGGTAGAATCGAATGTGCCAAGTCACTTGAACACCTCCCGTGAAAGCATCTATAAAAGAGATACAAATCTCCAACCTTTCTTCAAAATTTCAGACTATAAAAGTTGCAAATGATGTTCGTGTTTCCAATCAGGCGGATAGCTCTCTTCTGAATGGAATTCAGCAGCTACGCAGGGTATGCGTAGGAGCGGGATAATGGATAATGAAGATATGGAAATATGTTCTTGGAACCGCTCACCGCATTTTGAAAAAGCATCAATGGAAACTGTTCAAATATTATCTGGTACATCATCTGAGAGACACAGATTTGTATCATCGAATTGGGTTTTGTGAATGGTTGCTGATAAAAAGTTAGGAAGATCCAGATTTTCTTAAAAAGATCATATGGAGTAATGGAGCTAAAAATGTATTATCTTTTCTTCCTAAAATTCAGTTTTGAGCTGATGAAAATTCAAACCTCACCCGTGACCCCGACTATTAACGTTTATTGTGCTAAAAAGCACAATATGATTAAATGTTTACATCTATTATGAAAATTTGAATGGTGAAGATTCCTTAACGAAAGCATTAAATACCTACTCAAAAATATTAATGGTGCAGAATTAACATGGAAATTCAGAAGTCACGGGGATGAAAAAGATAAGCACCATATAGATTGGGAGTGTTGAAATTTAGCATTGTCTGAATGACATGTATTTTGTGAAACAGTTTTTGTTGTTGTTCATAAACATAATATACATTTGTATCCCGTATTTGAATTTAAAGGTGCATGCAATACGTTAAAAATCTGTAATTTGAGAGTTTATTCATCTGTTCAATGAAACTTTTGAATTTTATGGATTAATCACTCGAGAACTGGATACCTATTTTTTTGAGTAAACAAATAACCGGAAGTGTTGTAATTCTTGACCTTGAATAATGATTATACTAACGTTGAAATATAGCTTATGAATCCAGATGCAAAAGGTGAGAATAAATTTCATTCAGATGACTTATATCAGTTATCTTATTCATGAATGGAAGTGATTGTGAGATTCAGGCCATCTCTAGAAAGATTATTTTGTATTTATTATGCTTAGTTGCTAATATGTTTGTGACATTGAAGTCCATAAAATTGTCTGCTATATTTACTTATGACTGAAAGCATATCTTTCTGGTCTTAATCTACAATCACTTTTGAGAGAAGTTATTCTTTCCCTGTGTAATCTTGTCATTTGTTCAATATATTCTATATTGCACTTACAGCATGTTATACACAAAAGAAGTCTGAACGTTTTGGAGTTTAACTTTTTGTTTTGGTAAAGACCGAATCCAATAGTTGAAACTGTTTCATTTATAACTTTAATATTATCAAACGTTACGAAAATTCTGGCTAATTCTAGGAGTTATTTCTCTGAAAGGGAAGAGGACAAGAGGTGTAAAAAATATCAATTCAACTCAGATTCACTTGTTCATTAGTATGCAATTGTGATGAATTATTGTTATTGCAATTATTTTGTTAGTAATTGTAATTGTCTGTAGAACTGAACAGGGTCTTTTGTAGTGAAGTAGAAGAATGATAATTTTGCAGAAATAGGTCATATAATACTCTCAAATTTGTGTCATGGAAATCACTGTGAGAAATGTTTAGAACGCGTTGTTTCATTTGTTTAACTAAGTTCACAGCCTGTGGTACGACAGGTAATTCATATATCTCCTCGAGTGAATGAGTTTTCTGTATCAGTCGATTATAATCATATTCGTTGGAGTACGAATAAATTTAGTGTTTGGTAATGACACCCTGTGTTCGTTGTTTTCACATTGTATCGTGAACTGTATATATGGATTGTAGCTTTGAAAAGTTTCTACTATCTCTTCAGTGTATTCACCTGGCAGACTCAAAGTAATTTCATCAATATACTATTTTTAATGAAAATTACTTCAAAAGGTAGAACTTCAATTACAATGTCTGGAATGTAATCCATCACATATGCTACTGGATTGTGACTTATTTTTGTACCCATAGTTCGTGCAAAAGTTCGTTTGTGAATTTTGTTTTTGAAATAACAAAACAGTATTTTCAAATAGAAAAGCTATCATTTCAAAAATATATTATTTTTCAATATTACAGATGGATATTTCAAAATATCTGAGAGAACATTGACATTTGAAATATATTTTATCCATTCAGGTTCAATATTCAACTGTTGTTGAGATGAAACTTTGTTAGGTTGTCAATCTTTCTTTTATATATGATGCTTTAATTTTGTAAGTTTTAGGTATACATATTGTTCTCTTGAGGAAAATTCAGTAAAGAGTTCATAAATGCTTGATATAACCTTATTTTTGAGTCTAGTCAATTTGTTTTCTGAAATTTATTTATTTATGATTCAAATTAATTTGGTACTCGAGAAGTTTTGTCTCTAATCGTACACAAAACCTTCTTGATTCATTACTAAATACCACGTCTTCTCTTTGAAGTAGTCGATCTATGTGGCCGATTGTATGCTGAAGGTGTTTAGTTATAATTCCTGTAGAACGACCCTTAATTAGGAAGCATCGTCTGTTGTATTCTTTGGATAATTTCATTTTTGTTCTCGACCATAATTTTAGTTTTGTCACTACTTCAGCTCCATGTACTGTAGTGATGTGTTGATAAAACCCCATACCTGTGAATTAGAGTAAATGGTAGTATTTGCTGATTAGTTAGAAACAGAATCACTGAATTACTGGTACGCAGCATGCAAAAGGAATCTCTTAGGACATTTGTTCCAATATTTCGAAAATTTCGTTGTCATCACCAGGGAAACTACAAAAGTAAAAATGTTATATGAATTCAATTTTTTTTTAAGTTAAAAATGAAACTGCAATAATATGTCAAAATGGAGTAATATACTCTATTGGTCAAACATTCAGGTTACTCAAATACCTCATTACATCTCAAAAGAGCGATAACAGGTTAGCTCCACAAAAATGCGAATAACTTATAATACAAAATGGATTTCAATAATGGTACAATTCAAAGTAGGAAACATAATGCTGCAAAGAGGAAGTTCTAGCTCCTCTCGAGGCCACTTGATTACCCCAAAAGAGTACATGTTCGTGGCAGCAACTTTGTTCTTTCACGATAGTTCCGATGAGTTTGTGCTGATACTTGCCGTAGAGAGAGCTTTTTACTGTACCTCTCCCTTGGGAGTGACCTTATTTCATCTAAAGTTAGTATACGTCTCTCCGGCAGCCAGATATTATAGGATGCTTCCATCTACGAGCTGCACATCCTCCCCGTAATCCCCAAATCATCCTCTTTTTGGATGAACCGTTATCTTTCCAGAATTTCATGCTGATAGTATGCGTGAACTCTTCCATAGTCGTCAATAACTGATGAAGATCCTCTTCTCCAAATCCAGAGAGTTTGAGACTATCATAGAGAGGTTACGTTTGTACTGCATATAAGATGCAGGAAAACAACTTATATCATAAGTTCAAGCATGTTATCGGTTTTTATTTCATTGGAACAGATTTCGTTTTGAAGAATTCGAGCAATATTTTCCTCGACATGTTAGCAAATACCTTTCCTGATTTTCGAATGAAATCAAATTAGTACTTAAGGAGAAAAATCGAATTTTAGGTTGAAATCTGTGTCCAATCAATTCAATGAAAAATATAGAAATATTAGAAAACAACTCAATAAAAAAAGGACGGGGGAGGTACTTCAAGAGATAAGTGGAAAATTCAGATACCGATGTAAATTTTTTCTGGAATGATATTGATGATGAATAAAAAATTGTTCAAATTCAAATTTTTTTTGCTACCAGGAAAATAAAATACCTATGAGATGATGAAACTGCAGATATGCTTTCATTGAACATAAGTAACTGTCATGTTCTAACTATGAATATAATGAAACACCGAAATATTTTTGACTTACAATGAAGTATTATTAAAGCATTACAGTTCGATCACAGGTATAATTGAGTTTGCTCCAAAACGCTACCATAAGGAAGTGGAGTTATATTCATAAAACTTGTTATATAATATGAATTATACCTCGGAAGAGAAGTTTTGTTTGATAGATAGATGATAGATAAACAAGAAGCCAAAACCTTTCTATCCCTAAAACTAATATCTTCTAAAATATACCCCTTTCAATTGAAAGAAGATTCCTATGGCTGGGATTTGATCAAATGAGCGTATGAACGTCATAACGTACTGTCATCGTCACATGAGTGACTCATCTGTGACATAATGTCGTGATGTCATGAATTAATTGAGTGCTTCATTTTGTTATGTTATCCAGATTGGTGCTGATGAGCCAATAACTAATTTCTCCTAAAAATATACCCGTTTCAATTCATATAAATTATGTTTAATCACCCAATCACCAAAAATGCAATACCTTTCTCGACGGGCGTTTCATTAACCGAGTTGGCGTCTTCAGTAGATGGTGCTTGGGAAAAGTGGGAAAAGGGTCCAGTTTCACATTTTTCATCTATATAAATTACAATAGTTTTTAAATCTATTTCATATACCTACTGAAATATTAAAACAAATTATTCATACAAATCGTTAAAATTCAAAGAAATGCTGTAACCTTATTCTTTATCACAATATAAACATCCTTCCCAAACGTATTTCAATTTTTTTATCGTAAAAAACTGATTACTCTTTATACACACAAATGGGTAGGATCTAAGATATAGGTAAGTAGTTTTTGCCGTTTTTGATGATTCACTAGTTACACAGATTTGGTTGAAAGTGCCGTATCAACAATTCATAACTGATGATGGATTTTTTTTATAAAGGATGTGTTTTGTTAGTGTTTTGTTCTGTTAGCTATGGTGAGTGGTACTCATTTTTGGATATTTTTTTAAATACTGATGAATAGTTTTATCTATTCAATATTCCTATTAACATTTCAAAATATGATAATACACATATAATTGTGGGGTTAAACTATATTAATGATAATGAAATGGAGAGAGTAAAATTTTGTGAATCAAGGTTGAAATTGGTAAATAAACATGTTCAAAGGCATGTCAATAGGTACCTTATGAAATTGATTCTAAAAGAAATTTTTGGTAGTATAAGGCTTCATAAAAAATATATTGATGAGATGGGATACTTTCTCTCAACAATATGATGAGTTTCAGTAATTGACATAAAAAGAAATTTTTGGTAGTATAAGGCTTCATAAAAAATATATTGATGAGATGAGATACTTTCTCTCAACAATATGATGAGTTTCAGTAATTGACATAAAAAAAAGTTTTCGAAATGCTTCTAGTTATTTTCAAATATAATGATGTAATGCAATTTCCTGTTTTCTTCACTCACGCAACTGAAATACGATTATTTTATCATAAATTTTGGTCTGCTTTTAAGTGGAACTGGCAAATATTAACTCCGACTGTTTCATTCATGTTACTAAACATTTTGTCCAATTTGTGTTGGTCGTAAAACAATAACACAAAAGTATAGATTCAAAAAATGTAGTTATCAGATGAGTTATGAATTGATAAAATCACAAATCATTCTGCAGAATGAAAAATGAGAAATAAAACTTGAATATCTGTAACTGACGTTACTGCAGGTAACAGAGTTATTGAAGGCCGCCTGTAATTACCTACTGTGGTTGTTTAGGTATATAAGGGTGCACATTGTTTCAGTTTATTGTATTCCTTTGAAAAAATGTCGTAGTAGGACGAAACTGCAGTAACATTAGTTATAAATACAAGCGGTATAAAAACATAGGAAGTTTAAATTGTCATTTGTCATGATGATCTCCTACCACGTATAAGTAACGCCTACATCTATCAATTTATAATATATTTTCTGGCAAATATTAACTCCGACTGTTTCAATTCAATTCCCAAACATTTTGTCCAATTTGTTTTAGTCGTAAAACACAAATAACACATAAGTATAGATTAAAAAAATGAATCAGATGAGTTATGAATTGATTATATCACTTAAAGGAAATCATTTAAATGATTCTGTAGAATGAAAAATGAGAAATAAAACTTGAATACCACTTGTATCTGTAACTGACGTTACTGCAGTTTCGTCCTATAAGGACATTTTCAAACGAATACAATAATCCCTTATATATCTATACATTAATACAAATATTAACAATCATTTCAGTTTATTGTGTTTGTTTGAAAATGTGCTTATAGGACGAAACTGCAGTAACGTTAGTTACAAATACAAGTGGTATATAAACATAGAAAGTTTTATTTTTCATTTTTCATGATGATCTCCAACCACGTAGTTAACGGCTACATCCATCCATTCTGTGGAATGTCATACAAATAAATATTATATTATACATGAGTGATCTAGACTACTGCTATTTGGCATATTCAATTTCTGAACTGTTACTATCACTTAATTAACTTTAATGATCTCAAATTACGCAGTAATTATAAAAGCATATTTGTGATGTACTGATTTGCACATGAATATGATATCAATTGAGAATATTGAACTAATTTGGGATGAATATCCCAAAATTGTGGAAAGTCTTCAAAATGTCATAATTTTCACAGGAATTGTGTGCATTGTGTAAGAAATTCTCTAGTACTATTGCACTATTCCCATAATATTTTGAAGGATTTTGAAAAATTTTCAGGGTAATTGTGTGAATTCTGTGAGAAATACATAATTCTACCTTTGTTTCATAGAATATGATGAAATATTGGCCATAGTAATGGAAAAAAATTCGAATACATTTTTCAATACAAAAATTGCAACAAAATACAAGTATACTTTGTTTCTACAATAATTGGAACGGATTTGAGATAAATATCTCAAAATTGTAGAATGTCTTCGAAATTTCCTGATTTTTAAAGAATTGTGTGAATTGGGTCAAAAATACGGATTTGTATAAAACGATAAAATAGGTAATAATGACGGATAACATTTCGTAGCTATCAGTGATGAAATATCCGAATTATGTATTTATTCAAAAAATGAAATAAAGTGTCGAGTTTACAAAATTTTCACAATAATGGGAACAGATTTGAAATTAATTGCCCAACATTTTATTAATCTGGAGTGATTATATGAAAAATACTTGATTCTACTCTAGTTTGCCAAAATGTGATGTAATTTCGTCGCTTTACTGAATGCACTGCAAATTAGAAATTCATTCAAAAATCCCAACAAAATATCGAGTTTACGATGTTTCCATAATATTGGGAACGAATCCGAGATGAATAACCTAAAATAAACAAATATTACAAAAATGGGACAAGATGGCGCTGTAAAACCTCTCCAACACTGTTGCTCAAACCAAAACTTCCATCACACGATGCAGTTTTGTAAATTTTGCTAACAGTTTCTGAATCAAAAAAATGTTCTCCTTACCCTTACTCTCCACGACGCGTTTAGCTAATCAAGCTATCATCATCAAGAGATAACTGAAACATTTTTGTTCTGATGAGGAAAAAGTGTTTTCAATAGATACATTTTACGCCAAGGGTTACTATACAATAACCGTTCACTGGATATTCACGTAATAACGTTTTTAATGGATATAATAATCTGAGAGGAATCGTATGAAGTTAACTGCAGGTTGCTACATTTTGATTGCTTATCTTTTTACCAACCTCATTTCTCATGAAATATTGACCATTATTTTTGTGAGTGTTGAACTTACTAAGTTGTATAGTGTTTTCAAAGATATAAAACGAAACGACAATTCAATCCTTTATGTTAAAACTTAACTGGTAGGTACTCGACAAGTTGATTACTGTGAATACCTGTGCCCTTAATTAACTTGAATCTCTGTTGAATATTTACCTGCTGGTTTCACCATTCAAAATCAAACTGTCAATGTAGTATATCTCGGAAAACACTTCACGCTCTCGTTTTAGAAGCTAATTCTATAAAATGTTTGTATGGCAGTTCATTTAAGTTTTCGGAGGCGTCATAAATATAATATAAGAATATAATTGATATTCTCACTCAAAAATTAAAGTGAATTTTCAACCATAGATTTTAAACAGAAACAGTTGTATATAATAAATAATCGATTGGAAAATATCCTACATATCAACGTTTTCTTTCAGAATCTTCAGATCTATCATACTTCTATCTAATAAAAACAACTTTGACGTTGGTGTCCTAATTGTTAAATGAATATCTAATGAACTGTTGTTATAGTAATTAACGTACGAAGAGTTTTTGTGAGCGGAAAACTGTTTTTTGAATATAAATATCAAACATATTGTTTAAACAATATGACTAATTTCGTCCTGTCCTTAAAAGGTTTCTGATTTCGAATTATATAGAAAAACAAATTTGATGAAAAAAATCAATAAAAAAGAGCTGTTTCTCCAAATAAACGACTTCATTGTTTCGACTGTGTACATTAAGGACACTATCTAGGTTAGGGATTTGAATATGAGAAAGTCCTCAATATCGAACATTTATAAAAACGGTGAAATACCATACATTCTGGGAGTTTGTGATAACCAAAATAATAGATATAACAATTTCATCGATAACGTTTATTTTCAGAGTAGGCAACTTTTTAACGAACATATTAATCGGCAAAATGTTCCTAAATTTTAAATGCCCAGGTTGGTATTGTGAGAAATAATTTTAATGGAAATTTCGAAGGAATATTGTATCAAAAATCATTCATTTCAAAATACAATGACATGTTTTATAAATGACTTATTCAGCTCCTTCCTAATATTAAAACAATCGATACTATGAATTTATGTTCTGTTTGTTTTGGGTATATTACACCCAATAGCTGACGTAATTTCATTTAATAATTCTCATGTGTTCATTCCTTATGTATTATTTTTCTAGTCTTATTCATTTTATGAATTTAATGCAACTTGTAATACATTTATATACTCAGCTTAGCAAAAAAATCTATTTTTTCGTAAATTTCTGATAATGCTAAACAGGCCAATTTTTCGTTTTCATCTAAATAGCTAATAATAACTTGATGAGTGAAATTTGGAACCTTTTTTCTCACACCAGAACGAGAATACTGGTTCTCGACGACCGGTCCCAACAATTTCAAGTATTCTTCTCATATTCTGTAGTTGTTCCCTATTGCATGTTGAGCAACACTGGTCTCTCTAAATTTTCCCTTTCTGATCAACTTATCCACTTTGTTTTGAGGACCCGTTAATTTCAGTTATCTCCTTGATAATTTTCCTCAATACAGTGTGTAACAACGAAAACTTAACATAGCCGTTTTTGAATATAAAAAGTGAGATTTTTAAAAAAAGGTCGGACACATCGATTTCTAATTAGAGGGGGACACCTCTCAGACTAATCAGATTTTTTGGAGTACGCACCCCCTCGGAGGGGTGCGTCCGATGACCCTTATTTAGATAGGGAAAGTAGGTCGAGTGGCACCTTGTTTTGAAGGTCTTTGGAATACCTTTACATCTCTGTTACATTTTTGTACCGATTAGTTTTCTAGATAATTTAAAGATTTAAAGGTATTTTTATAGAGTTCAACTGTTTTTAAAATAAATCAAATTGTTTCTAATGTACAATTCACGTTCAGAACTTTCATAAAAAAAATAAATTTTTGCTTTTTATGACAACCTGCTAATACGTGTCCACTTGATTTCGTAAAAAAGTAAGAATTATTTGTTTATTACGAGGAGATTTTTTTGGGGGATGGGGTTGGTTACCACCCTTACATTTCAGGTGAATTGAGTGGCACCTCCTTATGAAGGTTGCCTTTTGACATGGATATTTTATGCTTCTGATAAAAAAGTGAATCATACTAAAAATTTACCTACACAACGAATACCACATGCTGATTTCCTTGAATGCTGATGACACAGAAAAGTTTAAAGAACTGTTTTAGGGTTAATAAATCCCAATAATTGTTTCTAAAGCACACACAAAAAAAGTAACACCTAATAAGGGTAACTCCCATAGGAAATTTAGAGAAAATGTTCAAAATGTGCGCCATTTTGCTCCATGCAACAATAAAGATTTTGTTCGAATTTTGCTCTTACATTATTCAACATCTTAGGATTTATAGCTCGTCATTCATCAATAATAATTCTACGAGGTAATTCATCCAAATTGGCTCGCTGTGTAGCATAAACTTTAGATTTTAAATATCCACACAAAAAGTAGTCCAGTCGTGTTAAATCTGGTGATCGTGCTGGCCATTCAATTGGACCTCTTCTGCCAATCCATTGAACTTCAAAATGATTATTAAAAAAATTTCCAACCTGGTGCACCGTCTTGTTGAAAATGGATAAATTCATCTTGACATCTTGGATCCTGTTCAATTATTTCAACTATACGAGGTTGTATTGCCTCTTCAAGAAGTTGTAAATGAGAATCACCGGTTAAATTTTCATCAATAAAAAAATGGACCTATAATATGATTGCCTAATATTCCGGCCCAGACATTCAGCTTTTGGGGATGTTGGGTATGTATTTCTGCGTATTGTCTTGGGTTTTCATCTGACCAATAACGGCAATTGTGACGGTTCACGCAACCATTTAAATAAAATGAGCTTTCGTCCGAAAAACAGATGTTATAAAGCAGCTCGGGATTTTGTATTAATCTCCCAATCATGCTGTCACAAAACTCCTGTCGTCGGTCAAAATCATCCTCATTGAGTTCATGAACAAGTTTAATTTTATAAGGATGGAATTTGTGGTTTTTAAGGATTCTCCATGCGCTCATATGGCTTATTCCGGCCATTGCTGATAAATCTCAGGTACTTAACCTGGGATTGGCGATGACTTGACCAATCACTCCAATCGCATTATCGTCATTCACCACCCTTCTCTGAACATTTCTTCTCTTATTTAAAACCGAACCTGTCTCCCTGAATTTTGTGATCAAATCCAGAACGTGATTTCTGCTTAGGTGTTTACCAGGGTTTTGCTCGTTAAATAAAATGGATGTTCTATTAGCATTTTGGTCGTTGCCAAAAACTAAAGCAATAACTGAAACCCTTTCAGCAGTAGTGTAAGGTTTTGAAACAAATAACAATACACGACCCGTTTAAACCGAACAATCGAACGATGTACTAATGAAAACTGGAAGAAGAGGAGAGTGGGTATTGATTTTAAAAAAGGGATTTTATTTAACAAAAAACTGATAAGAAGAACTGCTCAATTTTTTTTTATTTTTAGGCATACAAGTTACCGAGTGGTCTGTCTAATGTATTATTAACATGGCAATTATAACTTCAAATTATCTCGAAAACTAATCGTTACAAAAATTTTCTTTTGACAGAGTTGTAAAGGCATTCGAAACACCTTTAAAACAAGGTGCCACTCGACCTATTTTCCTATCTAAATAAGGGTCATCGGAAGCACCCCTCCGAGGGGGTGCGTACTACAAAAAATCTGATTAAACTGAAAGGCGTCCCCTTTTAATTAGAAACCGACGTGTCCGAGCTTTTTTTAAAAATCTTACTTTTAATAATCAAAAACCGTTACACACTGTTACACACTGTATTATGTTGAGCAACACTAGACTTCTCTGGTCCATGAAACCTGATATATGAATATGTTCCTTATAGCGTGCTCTTATAGTCTGCCGAATTTGATCAACATACACTTATTGCAATCCTCTAAGCTTATTTGCTAAATCCCAGACCTTTCCTTTCCGTCGAAATTATTGCCACTAGAATATGACCCCAAGTTTTTTAGTTGCCATCGAAAGTTGAGGAACCCGAAAATGTGGGTTCCATTCCTGAGAAATTTTAGTTCACTCGTCTACGTAATTAAAAGTAGAAAACAGAAGATTAGGTATCAATCAGATAGTTAATAACATCGGAAACAATATAAAATACTAGAATTTCATTTAATGACCCTCATTATGTAAGGTAATGATTCACCATATATGCCTGATTCATCATGCATCTAAAAATATTAACATAGCGGTTGGAATTGTCATCTCCTCATGATGCTGATTTGGTTAGCGAAACGCTTTTTTATACGTTACTTTGGATGCACGATATCAACAGTTGACGTTTTAGGTTTGAAAGTTTGTGAAGAAATTAATTTTTAATTTTCAGTTCTCGCTGATCCTGCAATATGTTATCTCTGTTCTGGAATAGAGTGTGATGACCCTTTCAACATTACAAATGCTATAACCATGAACTGCAGTGGCTCCAGTACTCTCAAATCATCGCTAAGAAATATTGACGAATGGACAGATGAAGACAAACTCCTTCGAAATTTCAATACGTATCGCGCTACTAGCTCAGAATATGTCTGTGTAACATTCGTTTATAAAAATGATTGTAAGTATACCATTGTAATATATTGGTTGAGTTCTGAAAATTTCGAACCTTAAGTAGAAAAAACTATATTCTCGAATCAGTTGGTTGAAATACTGTGGTGAAAAATTTGAAATTTGGAAGAACCACCCTCAATTTTTTATTTCATTTCGAATTCTTGGGTGTTTTACACTGTCACAAAACAGTAGATATCTCGAGAAAATGTCGCAATGAAATACAAATTACACTGGCCCTTCAACGGCTCCGTAAAAATAAGTTGAGTGCGCATATAAGCAAAACTAAAAAAAAATATGGCTCTTCTTTGGCACCCCGAAAAAAAATCATAATACAAAACAAATTGGAATCAGTACAAAGTATGGCCTCCACGCTGGTTTATTACGGCCCTACATCTATCGTGCATCGACAAAATGAGATTGTCAATGTCTTGTTGAGGTACATTTGCCCATTCAGCGATTAAAAGCTCTCTCAATTATTACCGTTTTTGCAGGCTTTGTTCAACCCATAGAAATCTATCTATCTATCGAATAGTACACAACGGATGAACACCCAACTTCATTTTAACCTCACTATACAAAAAGGTTTCATGTCATTTTTCGATGATTTAACTGTCATACATTATTCGACGTCAATGTTGAATTCATTCTCGATTTAGCCGTTTTCTTTACAATACTCTTGAATTTTAAAGGTTTTAAAACGAACTGAAAGTATATTTCTAAGCCATCAGAGTTATCCAAAAAATTATACTATTATATTTTGCCCTCGAAGATTGCTGTAATTTTATTGAAAAAATATTCTGAAACAATTTGCGCTCAAAAATGGTTGAAATTTTATACATACATCATTGGTGACTTTTCATGCATTGGAATATTGTAAATATTCATTATATGAATCATTACTGCACCATGTTGAAAAACATCATCCTTCAAAAAAATTTATGACAAATCGAATTTTTTGAACAGCTCTATTTTCGAAGACACTTGAATCTTTTTGCAATGAAGTAAAGTGACGATATGCAGAGTATGAAAGGTCCATCAGACTAGATGAAAATTATTCGAGGTTTTCAAACCATTTCTTGGAATGCAACCACAAGTTCCCGATTCTGAACGATAAGGAAATTTTGCACTATGCAGGCAAGGGTTGGGATCAAAATTATTCGGAATCCTTGGAAATTGACAAACATAAGCATTGCGGATGTAACCTACTAAATGACCATTGAACTGGTGTATTCGCCGGTTTTCAGAATAGCGTACCCACATTGACATATTAACCAAATTCAGGTAACAGAGTTATTAAAGGCCGCCTGTAATTACCTATTGTGGTTGTGAGGTGTAACTGAATTAGTGTAAAACATTTGGGGAGATGATTCCTCATCGAAAAAAAAGAAAGAAACTTCATTGGAGCATCCCTTGTTAAGATACAGCTCCTTAAAGGGGTCGTAAAATTTGTATGACAATTTTTTTTACAAGCACTGAAAAAGTTACAATATTGAAATTAACCTGACATTTTGTACTACCAAAAAGACACTTAGCCAGTAATTTATTTGGTTTACCCCATGGTTGTGAGGGTTGGAAAACGCAACCACTAAAATTTATTTCCAATGTAACTTTCTGTCTCATTATTTGTTTACCATTTAAAAATTCATTTCCGATAGCCTGTTTCATTCTAAACAAAAAATGTATCTTGGGTTTTTTGTCCAAAATAAACCAGTTCGCAGCAAAAAATTATTTTACGAACAACTACAGAGATACATCGTCATAAATGCNCAGTAACATTAGTTATAAATACAAGCGGTATAAAAACATAGGAAGGCCGCCTGTAATTACCTACTGTGGTTGTTTAGGTATATAAGGGTGCACATTGTTTCAGTTTATTGTATTCCTTTGAAAAAATGTCGTAGTAGGACGAAACTGCAGTAACATTAGTTATAAATACAAGCGGTATAAAAACATAGGAAGGCCGCCTGTAATTACCTACTGTGGTTGTTTAGGTATATAAGGGTGCACATTGTTTCAGTTTATTGTATTCCTTTGAAAAAATGTCGTAGTAGGACGAAACTGCAGTAACATTAGTTATAAATACAAGCGGTATAAAAACATAGGAAGGCCGCCTGTAATTACCTACTGTGGTTGTTTAGGTATATAAGGGTGCACATTGTTTCAGTTTATTGTATTCCTTTAAAAAAATGTTCCAGTAGGACGAAACTGCAGTAACGTTAGTTACAAATACAAGCGGTATGAAAACATAGGAAGTTTAAATTGTCATTTTTCATGATGATCTCCTACCACGTATAAGTAACGACTACATCCATCAATTGATAATATATTTTCTGATATATGATTTCCTGATGTTTTACATTATTCTCCTATAAATGCTGGATAATGTCATATGATGTCATCATTTGTTATTTTGTCCGAAATAAATTAACGGTTTATAGGATTGATTACATAATTTATCCACGCACTGTATACAAGATTTGCTTTATATATTTTATATTGTTATACAATTTTCAGTTGCCAACCAGAATATGACAGTCAGAAAATGTATTGCGAAATCTATCGATAATCTCAATGCATGTGACGCCATCACGAAATCAGTCAGCGCTACCATTGGAAAAGTTCAAAGTTGTCAAACGTGTGACACGGATCTCTGCAACTCCGGACGGAACGTGATGCAATCATTTCTATCCTTATTGATAGTATGTTCTCTCAAAATATTAATTATTTGATGGGTACATAGTATTATAACACATTGATAGTGGTCTTGAAAATTTTCTACAAATATCTAACTTTAGAGCTATCAGCTGTATGAGATAAATTAAGGTTCCGATCAAGAAGAATAATTCTGTTTCAAGTAGTACAAAAATCGAACTTGTATCAGTTCATTTCAGAATTACAAATATTTACTAAAAGATCAATCAGAAAATATAAAATGATGATTCAAATTACTCAACTTACTCAACTTACTCAACTCAATAACAATAATAAAATCCTTTTTATTATATGAAATATATCTATCTGTTTATTTCAATAGCAATAATAAATTCTATTATTATATAAAAAATGTAAATATTTCTGTCATTTTTCTGCGGTTATTTCGTTAAACTTTGGTCAAACAATTATATTCAAAAATTCTATTATGAAGTATTTGCACCATCTGTTTTCATTTCTCAAAATTATTGATCGCCTGCATGTCTTACTCAATCATTATTTTATTATTTCAGACGGCTCGATTCAACTGAAAATTTTTCTAATCATACAAATATTTTGAGAAACATTCACCTTTATCAACTTTCCTATACGGTAAGGTTGAACAACTACCTTCTAAAAAACAACTACAGACATTGCAATACGTTTGACAAACATGTGGGCAAGTTTTCTCACAGGACGTCACTAATCGATTATATATTTATATATTTATATATATATATATATATATATATTTGTTTATTACATATTGGTCAGCCCGGTATATGAACGGGGGCGTT